GACCACCCAGCGGCCCGGCACGAGCAGCTCCATTTCGGCTCCGAGGCCGGGCGTCAGTCCGCCGACGCCGGCCACCCCCACCCCGCCTACGTTCCGGCCCACCTTCCCCACGACCACTCCCCCTGGCACCGGCAGCTCCGTCTCACCGGACTTCAACCAGCCCAACCCCGGAAACAGGCCGAACCCCGGAAACAGGCCGAACCCTGGAAACCAACCCAACCCTGGAAACCAGCCCAATTTTGGAAACCAACCCAACCCTGGAAACCAGCCCAATTTTGGAAACCAGCCCAACCCTGGAAACCAGCCCAATTTTGGAAACCAACCCAACCCTGGAAACCAGCCCAATTTTGGAAACCAACCCAACCCTGGAAACCAGCCCAATTTTGGAAACCAACCCAACCCTGGAAACCAGCCCAATTTTGGAAACCAGCCCAACCCTGGAAACCAGCCCAATTTTGGTAACCAACCCAACCCTGGAAACCAGCCGAACCCTGGAAACCAACCCAACCCTGGAAACCAGCCCAACCCTGGAAACCAGCCCAACCCTGGAAACCAGCCCAACCCTGGAAACCAACCCAACCCCGGAAACAGGCCTGGAAGCAGACCTAACCCTGGTAACAGACCTAACCCTGGAAACCAACCCAACCCCGGAAACCAACCCAACCCTGGTAACCAACCCAACCCTGGAAACCAGCCCAACCCTGGAAACCAGCCCAACCCTGGAAACCAGCCCAACCCTGGAAACCAGCCCAACCCTGGAAACCAGCCCAACCCTGGAAACCAGCCCAACCCTGGAAACCGACCCGTCACCATTACACTCCCCACCGGTCAGCTTCCTCTCCCCGGCGGCGGCCAGATTCAATTCCCGGGCGGCCAGATTCCGCTGCCGAATCTCATCAATAACCTGTCGAACCTTGGTCAGCTAGGGCTGTCCACATTACCGCAGCAACAGCAAGGACGCAAATAGACGAATCACATGCATCCGTACCACGCTGGCAGGTAGATGGAAACGGCGGATGCTGCAGACACCCAGTGGGAGGGTTAAGTGCTCTGTGCTAGCCCAAAGTGTATATTATGGGATGTGTTAGGGGCAAACATCGATCAAGTGTACTTCGATTGCTATACGAAAGCAAAGGTATAGTCACCATTTTTAGAAATATTTACTGTTCTCGGCTCTAATGGTATCATATCATTTGAAAAAAAAAAAAACAGTAAAAAGATCAAAAACAGGAAGTAAATGAAATTCACTTAGCAGGGTTCGCAGCCACATCATATCAGCCCACTTACACCCTTGCATGCCAGCGGAACAAGCTTCATACCAAATGCTCGCTTTTTGTTTTGTTTTCTTGTTTATATAGTGTGTGCCTGTGTCGTCCATTACGTAGCGCCAATATGGAGGGATACGGGTCATTGTTCTGTGGTTGGCGTCTTTGTTGTGTTGTTGCGCATTGGAGAGGAACAATGTATGTTGCAGTGTGGCACGAAAATAAACCGTTCGACCGGAATGAGCTTCATTTTTTAATGAGACAGAAATGCTGATCTAAGTCCTCACGCTTTCATGAGGTTGATGAAAAAGCCTTTGCTCATACTAAATAGAAAAATGACGAAAAAACAATTATATAAAAGAGACTGATATTTCACCCTTGTGGCTTCGAGCAAAATGATTCCATAGCTTTGCAAAAACAACTCAATGTAAATAACACAGTTTCGGTATATAATTACTGAAAAGTATATATATATATATATATATATATATATATATATATATATATATATATAATACATGTTTGTGTAAAAATGACAGCATAACGGGCGTTTGTTTGCTTTTTTGCCAAGTTCTCTAAACTTCGTACGATCTTCTTGCCATCTGCTTCAAATTCATGTAAAATTGTGCCTATATTGTCGGGTAACGTTTCGTTAATATCACCATTAACATCTTCACCCATACAAAACAGACACAATAACACCAAATATAACATTCGTCTCGTCTCGAAAATCGCAAGGAATGAGTTTCCTATTGACACGGATCTAATTCAATTTGATGTAGCACTTTAAAGTACAAACGCACATGATCATTGCAATGGCACCTCTCGCGATTACATTTTCAGCGCAAATATACGGACACTCTACGTACATATTCATTATACACCGACACACATTTCGCATACACAAACATTCAGTTACATCATTCGGTTACAATCATCGGTTCAGTTACATTCAGTTACAATCATCAGACAAGCCACACATGTTTCAATGACAGTTTCGCATGCATTCGGTCTACACATAATCAACTAGCACACAAGTCTAAAACCTAAGTGCTACCTATCTGGGCGCCAAGGGTCTTCCATCGTATAAGGACAGAGTACCCGTCATGTTCATTTGACGGTTGATAGCTGGGTCTCTATCCCTGATGAAGACGGCTTCAAGAATCGCAAGCTTATGTTTTTTGGGACATCTAGCTATGATGCTGGTATTGTTAACTATCATGCTGCGAGTGAGTTTGCGAGTCTATTATCTATATGCGAGTCTATTATATATATAATAGACTACAAAAGCAATATTCCTAAATAAACTGTGAGAAGTGAGAACTTTTGCGACTTGGCGCTCACCGCTCCAAGAATTCTTGGAGCGGTTATACCTACGTTAACGTAGGTATAAGCCACTTGATTTTTGTTGTTCTAAGACATGCAGGATTTTCGACAAATATCGATAAAGAAACCCAAAGCAGACCTGAAGCCAGGCCAAAGCAGCTGGTGGGTGCCACCTCCTGACTTTTTCACGATTGCTCGGAGCGCTAACCACGGAGAGAGTTGAAAGACGGCATACCTAACATTTCACTCTAGCCAAATCTTGTAACACCAACCACATTTTCGGGCCCGGGCAAGTCACTGATATTGTATGTGAGCCGCTGCGTGATCCTAAAACTTTGCAAAGCAACGGCCTTAGTACACAGAAGGTATTTCACAGAATGATGAAGCTTATAGGACTGACCTCCCTGCACCCTCATATCATTTACATCTTGGATTTTTCCTGGGGTCTCCTGAGGTCAGGAGTCCAGGATGGTCACGTTATCACAATTTTAAGTAAGTGAGGGAAATTTAGAAACTGTTATTTTAACGTCAGAAATAATCTTAAGGCGTTCTCACACTCTTGGCACGACTTTTGGCCAGGCTTTCGTCGTGGCAGATCGTGCCATTTTGGAGCACAAACTGGGAGACTCCCGCGTCATTCACGACTGTCGACTAGCTCACGCATAGTACACGAGGAGTTCATGGTGATTTGACGAATAGTTCACGAATGAGCATGCGTCAGTGTCCACAATGCACAAACTGGCGCTATGAGTTCACGCATAGTTTAATCGCATAGTTTGCGCATAACGTGCACATTTTCCGCATGTTGGCACGACGAGTTCCCGTATCACGTAATTCGTGAAGGCTGGGGCACGCCATATAAAAATGAGAGCTTCCTTTTCTGGATTTAGCGTCATGTTTTCATTCTTAATCATGGTTATTCAAAGTTATTAGCTTTTGATGCCCTGCGGAGGAGACAACATGCTGAATGCCAGAGACACAAGTATTGCAGAGAAGAGAAGATGTCCATACCTGGCAGCTGCTCTATAGTCATTATATAAGAAGAGCAGGAAAGGTTGGAGGAGAATAGCAAAAAAGGCATCCTCACATCAAAGAAAGGCTCAGAAAAACGTTGGTCAGGAACTCGTAGACCAGAAGTCGCGAGATTGCCAGTATTATGCCAGTATCAATAGGTATTACTGTCCAGAAATGTAGTATGACAGCCCAGTTCAGTCCATTGGAATGGCGAGCAGTGTCCAGGAAGACCCCACACCGACACGAGCGCCACTCTCAGGCAGTAGTCGTGAACTGTTCGTGAAATCATCGTGAACTGCGCGTGTCATGCACAAACTATTCGCAATGTGCGTAAAGAAGTCGTAAACTATTCGTGCCATCAATGCGTGAAGAATACGTGATAACATACCGTGTCAGCGGGAATGTACGGCCGTGTTGCGATATCCATCATTTCGTGAGCATGTCGCGAACCACTCGTGAATTCGATTTGAGATGACCATGTGCAGCGTGACAGACGTGGTATGGCGCGTATCGTCACGCACTGGCACGCATCCTCCTGCATCGACATGACGAATTCACAATGATTTCACGAATAGTTTGCGCTTAGTTCTCTCCTTGGTCGCGGATTTTTATCGTGAACAAAATTTTGAACATTTCAAAACCCTCGCTCATACACGGCACGCAGTAACTACGGCGTTGCGAGTTCTTCACGTCAGTGAACGACTATGACTACTGTACTGTAGTTTGCGCGCTAGTAAAGCCCCATATGTTCCTCGAAGCTTTTCGTCAATAGCTCTCGATCAAATTGAGCTAGAGAGTCGCAAAATCCATTCGTATATGGACTAAAATATACCTTCCAAATCGGAAGTAAAATGTAATGCAACGCACCTGGGAATTTCGAACATGGTGGCACCAAAATCGCTGCTCTGCGACCATTTAGGGCGAGCTCATTCACCAAAAACTGGATTCCTGCCTAGGGGTTTTGACCTGACCTCAGAAATCACAGGCTGACCTGAGACCTTAAAATCGGGCATCAGTCACAGGATCACAAAACGGCGCACACACTCGCCTTTTCCGCGATGCTCTAGCTCAATTAGGGGCGAAATGGCAAAGAGGGTTTCATCTACCCACTCCCCCACCCTCGGTCAAAATCATGCAGGATACCACTATTGATCTCGTCTTCATGATTACTAGTTACACACGTGTTTTTCGTTACTTTGCAACCCTCATGGATAAATGCAACCCTCATGGATAAAAAAGACGTTCATACCGTACGAGCCTCAAGTAGAGACAGCACAAAGGACAACAGCTTTAGTATACTTATGCACATATGCACCCCACCGCCACATCCGGACATTCCTGCCCAAATGCAAAACTGTGTAAAGATGCACGTGCTACCTGCTATGCTTTCTCTATGGACCGGCGAACCGAAGCGCGTAAGACGACATGCTACTTAACTACCGTTTTAAGGCTGCCTCTAGTAGGGCCAGTTCTGAAAGTAGTCTCACGGCTGATTTATACAGGTATATAACGCGCGGCGGACCTCGGTAGCACATCATCTGTGCCTGCACCGCCGACTGCAGTATGAAGACGCTCCACCTGCTGTGCGCCGCCGCCCTGGTAAGTACAGGTCTTCTGAAATGACCTCAGCACAAACAACCTAACGTCTGGAATGCATCGCTATTTGGTTAACTAACAGATCTGCCTACATACCGTGCAGCTTTAGAATGCGTGGAATAATGTGTTTGCAACGAACCCAGTGCACTTCAGCAATCAGACAGAGCTTTGATGTGAAGCTTTGTGTGAGAAAATTCCCTTAAATGCACGCGGGCCATATATGCATATTTAATACCTATCCAGGTGTAGTCAGTAAAGTTAGTGAACTAATAAAGATAAGAATGCAACTCAAAAGCATGCCAGATATTCTAGAGCCATACGGAGAGATTACACCTTTCCATTATGCAAAGTTAAATTAATAAAATGTAGGGCAGCGCATGGTCACAATGCATCCGAGGTGACAGTTGCAATAGGCTTGGCAAGATGCCAATAAGAAAACATGCTTCTTTGGCTCGGAAAAATATATCTTAGTTTGAAGACAAGTGAAGTTTGTTTATTGCTCGCCATGATTTTTTTTTCATATAGGTATGTCAGCGTATCTGTCTTGAGAGTGCCGCTTGCAATGCAAAGGCTTCGTGCATATAGTCATCTTGCGAATTCTAAAAATTGGAGATTTTATTATAAAATAATATCAATTTTTTAGGGATTGCTGCATATCGAAGAAAGCTCTCAAATAACCATGCATAATGCAACGCATTCGCCATGCATCCTTAATATCTAGAGACACGTCTACACATAGGTACTCGTATGTTCACCAGCCAAATGATACGCCACGTAGTCATACACGTACAAAACATGAGTTCAGGTGACATACTGCATCTATCTAACAGACATATTCCTATGCTCTCCTCTCCAGGTGGTGGCTGCCGCTGGCAGTGCCGCGGGAGCCGAGTCCGCCGACCCGCCGGCGGTCGACCAGGGGTCCTCCGAGGTCACCAAGGAGCGGGAGACAGGCTCAGGCCAGCGCAGGGGACGCTTCTTTGCCTCCTTCTGGAATCTACTCGGCTACAATGAGGAGAAGGAAGAGACCAAAGTGGAAACTGTTCCCGTTCCTGTTTCCGTGGCAACGGTGCAAACTGCTCCCAAACCCATCCATATCAACCCAGTCATCGTCCTGAAGCAGGAGCATCTAACGGCGGCGCTACCCAAACCAGTAATCGTCCAGTCTGCCCCTCCGAAGCCCATATTTGTTCAGCCTGCCCCTCCGAAGCCCATATTTGTCCAGCCAGCCCCTCCCAAGCCCGTGTATACGCCGCCAGTCCACCCGGAGCCCGTGTACGCGCAGCCAGCACATCCGAAGCCAGTGCATCCTCAGCCCGCCACTCCTGTCATCCAACACGGCAACGACGGGTGCAAGACTGATTATCAGTGCCCCAAGGGTTCCTACTGCTTCTCCTACAACTGCGTCCAGTGCATAACTGACGAGCACTGCTCCGCTGGTGGCCGGCACAGTCGTACCTACCAGAGGCGGTGCGAGCACAACCGCTGCGTGGACATCTGGCAGGACGACGTCGTGAAGTGCACCAAGTACTCGGCGTGTCCCGATGGCCAGTACTGCTCCGCAGGAAAGTGCACGCCCTTCGTGCCCGAGTGGATGCCGTGCTCGGTGGCCGAGAGCTGCCAGTCCAACAGCTGCCTGCAGGGAAAGTGCGCCGAGTGCTCCCAATGGAAGCCGTGCGCGGCCGGACAGTTCTGCGACCACGGTCACTGTAAGTCGCCGGGTAAAACGGGAGACAGCTGCTGGCTCAGCTTCCAGTGTCAGTCGCACATCTGCTGGCAAGGCCTCTGCGCCGACTGCGCCCACCACAGCGACTGCAGGAACGCAGGAGAGTTCTGTGAGAAAGGCCAGTGCAAGTCCCTTCTTGGGTACGGCGAGAAATGCTCCGAGAACAGCCAGTGTGCGTCCAGAATCTGTGACAGCATCACGGGCCAGTGCGTTGACTGCAGGAACTCACTGACCTGTCCTGACAACAGCTTCTGTAGCACCGGCTTCAAGTGCGTGCGCAAAGGCATGTTCAAGGATGCGTGCACGTCAGACAGCCAGTGCCTGTCAAGAAGATGCGGACCCAAAAACACTTGCGTTCAGTGCAACCGTCTGCAAGACTGCAACAGCAGCACTCACTTCTGCGACATCTCCTTAGACGGAGCGTGCACGCCGCTGAAGCGAGTCGGACAGATCTGCGACGCGAACGAGCAATGTCTGGCACCCCTGACGTGCAGCCCAAGCACCAACAAGTGCGTCCAATGTCAAATCAACAGTCAGTGTATGGACAGTCAGCGCTGCGACAACACCCTGGGCATGTGTGTGGCCAAGTCTATCCTCGGTGACTCCTGTGTGGGAGACTCGGACTGCCAGAGCGGGGTGTGCGGCATCGTGTCCAACCAGTGCGTCCAGTGCCGCGCCGGTGTGGTCGGGTCCTGTCCCGCCACCTCCTTCTGCACCGTTGATGGCACCTGTGTGCCCACCAGCGTGCCACTGAACGGCGCGTGTCCCTCGGGGCAGAACGAGCAGTGCGCCGTCGGTCTGGTGTGCACAAACCTCGTGTGCAGATCTCCGACATCGGTCATTGACCCGTCACAGACCACCTCACCCAACACCCCCACCCCTGCCGCGTCCGGCCCGTTCCAGGCCCGATCCTTCGGACGCCGCTGAGAGGTCATGCAACTAGTCGACGGAGATTCAGGAGGGTCGAGCAACCAGAGGCGATCAGATGACTAGAAAACTGCTAAAAGTAAATGTAAATGTAAATGGTATAAGTGGAAGGCCGACACCTTTGGTGTTGCGATTGCTTTTAAAGAAAAACGATTTGCACTGTAGCGATGTATTTCATAGCGTTGTTCAGCTTCACGGTCACTCTATTCGTGGTAGCATATCCTCGTCATGATGGCTCACTGGTTGCAAATGACCCTCCAAACTCTGTTGCTGATTTGCCCCTGTTCGTTATTTGTTATTATTAATCGGTATTTAAAGGCGATACACGTATGATTGCCACTACGAACACCTAAGTTGGCGTAACGTCCTTCCTTGGACACAAGGACGACTGTGAAATATATTGTTGAGTTTATATGTTGACGTTGTTTCCGTATGTTTTGTTGTTTTCGTTGTTTGGTGGAAGTTGTTACATCACGTGAATGTTGTTTTGTTATGTGTCTGTGCTGCCTTACATGTTGTATAGTCACGTTTGGCAAAATAAATGCATGTCCCTTACACACTAGTATCTTCTGCTTCATGGCAAAACGGCAATCGTTTGAAAAGCAAGTCACAACTAATAGATAGCGGTAAAGCTGACATAAAGAGTTTCTCATATGGCTATAAAGTGTCCATCACGTTTTATGTATGCTATCATCGGTGCATCGCACATTTTATCAGACTTGAGCTGGACTTATCGTCAGATACAAATACGGAACCTTAAAGTATAACTCATTGAGTCTGATAATTTCATGCAGCCCAATTTCCTTACTGAAACAGCTCGCAAAGACTGGATTGAGGGAACCAAACAATGTACTGCATCGTCCTGAATGTTTACTAAGCGACACCCAGCAGCAAAGCTCCAAATTTAGGTGAGACATGCTCGTAAATCAATGAATGGATTTCTGCCTTGAGCCAGTCCTCCACTACATGTTTCTTTTTCTCCCACCAGACCGTGGTGAGCTGTTTAGCGTACTCCTTGGACGGCGATCCCAGAAACTGGTCGAGCGCTCCCAGCAGACCGTCCAGCCGCACCTCCACCTCGATGTCCGGCAGGCTGACGGCTATGCTGGTGTCTCGAGGGATGACAGTCCACTTCTTGTTCTTAAACTGCAGGTCCAGTAAAGTCTCCAGCCTTGCGTACGGCCTGATCAGCTCAATATGAGGCCGCCCCGTTAGGGAAAAGCATGTCAATTTGCCGAAAAAATGCGTACAGTGACGAATCTGCCCACGAGCAGTGAGGTTTAGTGACGGCCAAGTGACATTAAACTCAAGCCTGAGGGCAGAGCTTTTGGCATCGACGATCCTTAGGTGGTGAATTTCGTACCCAGAAAGACCATTCACCCGAGTCTCATTAATCCACCAGTCGACACTCGATTTGTTCACTTGGCTCATGTTCTTCAGGTGGACGGGTTCATACTTTCTCTTGATCATGTCGCGCCCCGTCTCCAGCAGGTTTGTGAGACACCTGCCCAGCGACTCGGGACTGGAGATGATGCATCCATCGCTGAAGCAGACGACCGAAAACATCACCACGATCACAGTTACACGGCTCGCCATGGCGGCACGCACTCCGGACCGGGCAGCGGCGCACGACACAGAGATGGCTCCGGCGTGGTGTCGGCGCCGCGTCCGGCCCCTCAACTGGTCAGACTAAATGTCAGCAGAGCTTCACCGTGTTCACGACAGACAACGGAGCGACGCAAAGGTCACAGAGTGAGCGCAATGACCTTTGGTCACTGTGTGAGCTAGTGAACGTGACGCGGCAGCCACGCCGCTCGTGGCCCGAACACGTGGGGTTTGTAGAACCTAAAAATAAGGATCTTGGCTTTCGCTGTTCTTTTGTGTAAGTAAATGAGGCGGGTTCCCCTGATTGGTATTGTATCTTACAATAGTGAATGAACTAAAGAGGCAAGTGCATTTTTGTAAGGTATATTTTGTTGCATGCAAACACAGTCTACGACACATAAATCCGAAAAAGATCAACAAATAGCAATAACAACGCTCCAAGCCCCAATGGATATCAACAAGAACAAACAACAAAAGGGACGAATCACGATCAGTAGCAAAAACAAACAGGTTTCAAGGAAAACAGCTCACTCGTCAACTTCGGCATGTCAGTAGCTGATTGCAGCAGTCACAATTGCATAGCTTGCCTGTCCTGTGATCCTAGCTCAGTTTCAAAGCACTGCTGATGGGTGGCACACTCCTGTCACCGACGTTTACTCCCGCCACCGTGTAGCCCTTCCTCAGCTGCGTCCAAAGGATCGGGCGGGGGCCGGGACGGTCGCGGTGACAGTCGGAGTGGTGAGAGTGACCGTCGGTGACGGGTTGATGGCCGTCACCGGGCTGGTGCACACGCGGTTGGTGCACACCAGACCGGCGGCGCACTGTACGTTCTGTCCCGAGAGGCAGGCACCGTTCAGCGGCACGTTGGCCGTCAGACAGGCGCCCTCGAGGGAGCAGAACTGTCCCAGAGTGCAGCCGCCGAGTGTGCCGGCCGGCAGTCCGGCGCGGCACTGGACGCAGGTGTCGGACACGCTGCTGCACACACCGCTCTGACAATCGGCGTCTCCCACACAGGAGTCACCCAGGACAGACTTGGCCACGCACATGCCGAGGGTGTTGTCGCAGCGCTGACCGCTCAAACAGTCCGTGTTGAACAGGCACTGCACGCACTTGTTGGTGACGGGACTGCACGTCAGACTCGGCAGACACTGTTCGGTGGTGGAGCAGATCTGTCCGGCACGACCCAGAGGCGTGCACGCGCCGTCCACGAGGTCGCAGAAGTGCGTGGTGCTGTCACAGTCTTGCACCCGGCTGCACTGCACACATCTGTTCTTGGGCCCGCATTTGTTGGACAAGCACTGGTTGTCGGACGTGCAGACGTCCCTGAACATCCCCTTGCGCACACACTTGAGGTCGGCGCTGCAGAAACTGTTGTCAGGGCAGCCCAGCGAGTTGACGCAGTCGACACACTGCTGTGTTTTGCTATCACAGATTCTGGACACGCACTGGCTGTTCTCAGAACATTTGTAGCCGTATCTGAGGAGGGACTTGCACCGGCCCTTGTCGCAGAACTCACCGGCGTTCTTGCAGTCGCTGTGGTGGGCGCAGTCGGCGCAGAGGCCTTGCCAGCAGATGTGAGACTTGCACTGGAAGCTGAGCCAGCAGCTGTCTCCCGTTTTACCCGGGGACTTACAGTGTCCGTGGTCGCAGAACTGTCCGGCCGCGCACGGCTTCCACTGGGAGCACTCGGCGCACTTTCCCTGCAGGCAGCTGTTGGACTGGCAGCTCTCGGCCACCGAGCACGGCATCCACTCGGGCACGAAGGGCGTGCACTTTCCTGCGGAGCAGTACTGGCCATCGGGACACGCCGAGTACTTGGTGCACTTCACGACGTCGTCCTGCCAGATGTCCACGCAGCGGTTGTGCTCGCACCGCCTCTGGTAGGTACGACTGTGCCGGCCACCAGCGGAGCAGTGCTCGTCAGTTATGCACTGGACGCAGTTGTATGAGAAGCAGTAGGAGCCCTTGGGACACTGGTAATCAGTCTTGCATCCGTCGCTGCCGTGGTGGATGACAGGAGTGGCTGGCTGAGGATGTACTGGCTTCGGATGTGCTGTTTGCGCGTACACGGGTTTTGAAGGGGCTGGCTGCGCGTACACGGGCTGTGAAGGGGCTGGCTGCACATAAACAGGCTTCGGAGGAGCCGGCTGCACATAAACAGGCTTCGGCTGCACTGGCTGCACGAGCGTCGGCTTCGTCTCTATAACTGGCTGCACGATTATCCGCTTCGGCTTGGGCTGTGCTGGCTTCACGACAATGACGGGGCTGATATGAATTGGCCTGTGAACATTCTGCACGTGGGGGACAGGCACATCAACGACCTTCTTTTCCTGCTTCAGTCCTAGGAGGCTCAAAAAGTTGGCGAAGAAGCGTCCCTTGCGTTCGCCAGAGGTGGTCTCTTCTCCATCCTTGGCGACCTCGGAGGGCCCCTGATCGACCACGGGGGCGGGCTGGTCGGCAGATGAGGCCGCGGCAGCACTGCCAGCGGCAGCCACCACCTGAGAAAGGAAAAGGCAGGGGTTAGTTGTTTTCTTTATTCGTAAATGAATGAAATTAGAGCCATACTTGTCGTAAAACTCAGGGAACAACCAACAAATAGCAGAGTGAATCGATAAACATTTATGTTTATTGTCAATCTTTTTTGTTTGTTTGTTTTTTTTTTTGCCGAAATAAAATGGCATATTGTCATATTAAACGTAGTCTGAAAACTGTACAGAAATGCAGTACGACAAATCGATTAAGCGCTACCTCTGCGACAGGTAAATAAAGTCGGAAGCGCATGAAAGCCTACAGTGTGCTGCAAAATGAACTATTATACACATAGATCACACAATAAGCACCGTAACGACCAAATGAAACGGAATGCTGCAAACTTTGATTTAGTCACTCACCAGCACTAGGCAAAGAAGCTGGAAGGGCTTCATGTTGCTGCTGCACTGGGAGTCAGTGCGATGAATGATCCAGCTCTCCTCGGAGAACGCTTTATACCCAGTTCAAATCAGCCGTACCCACTTTCAAAACCAGAACCGCCGCAATCAGTAACAGAAACGGAAGCTAAGCAGCGGAAGCCTCTTTGCGTGATGCGTTAAACGGCTTAGCAGTGGATGAGAAGAAAACGGTGCTGGTGGTCACGCACCTTAGGGGGTACGTGGGTAGGTCAGGCCGTGTTGGGGGCTCACACCCCGAGATTGCGCTAGTTGCTGAAGTCGGTCGTGTCTCTATGTACTTTCGATGAAGGTGGCGGCGGTCTTGCCTGAGAGTGGTCAAAGCAAGAGATGGGTGAGTTTATGCATACTGATACATCTTTGGATTAAATATTGCTTTCGCTGCTCCAGCTTTGAAGAAAATAAAGCCAGTTACTGGTGCAATTGCTCCATAAACCATCAGTTACAATTTGAAATTCATTCCAAGCGACTTTCACAATACTGATACGAAATATATGCTTTTTATTTCTCGCTTACCATATAGCTTCGTTTAACCCTCGCCGGCCGAGGGGGGGGGCGGGTGCCGCCCCCCCCATAGGTTTTTTTCGCGATAGCTCCGAACACGCTGGCGATAGAGAGCTGAAACTTGGCATACCTGACCTTGGATCCAAGCCGCATCTTTTGACACCAACCGCATTTTTGGGTCAAGTCAGGTCACTGACCTATGACGTCATAAGTGAACCTCTGCACGGTCTTCAGATGTCGCAACTTCGCAACGCCCTCACTGCCAGAGAAGATGTCACAGGGAAATGAAACTTGCAGGATCTAGTATCCATTATGAGTCCCACAACTTGTAAATCTCGGATTTTTCCTAAAGGTCATATGAGGTCAGGTCATTTTCGTGACCTCACCATTATAAGTCAATGGGGAAAAATGAAAACTGCTATTCTGGCGCCGGGAACGATCTTCAACTATCTCAAGCACACAGAATCGTGATTTCATGCACTCCTTGCAAGGTTAGATGCGTCACTTTTGCAATGTTGACCTTGCGTGACGTCATTTATGACGTCATCAAGGTCATATTAGTTTTTCGTCAATAACTCTTGATCAAATTGAGCTAGCGAGTCGGGAAAGCCACCAATGGACTCAGGAAGACCTGCCGAATCGAATGATATGCGACATGACCTCTTTCGACCAACTTCGTGACCTGGGGGTGCTGACCTGACCTTGACCTGAGGTCAACACCCCAAGTTGACCTGACCCGGACAAAAAGTATATCATTCGACGCGCCTGAGCGAGAAGAACACGATGCTGCCAAAATCGGCGCTCTGCGGCCGTTTTTTGCGAAGTTATTCACCAAAAACTGAACCGTACCTTGGGGCACTTGACCTGACCTCAGAGGTCACCGGTTGACCTAGGTCCTTAAAATCGGGTACCAATCTCTGCGTCTTGTAACGGCGCACACGCTCGTTTTTTCCGCGACGCGCTAGCTCCACCAGGGGCGAAACGGCGAGGGGGGTCGTACCCGCCCCCTCCCCCTCGGCCGGCGCGTATGTAGAAAACCAATAGGTCCGGCGAGGGTTAACCCTATTAGTGGCAGGGGGGGGGGGGTGTTTTTATCCACCCCTCAGGTTTTTCGGGAATATCTCCGAAACCGCTGAAGCTACGATGCTGAAATTTTCTGACTTTTCCTAAAACTAAATTGGGCACATTCCCTGAAAATTTCAAGTTCATAACTTTACCAGGGGCGGCTCCAGAGCACTGGGAATTGGGGGTCCTATTCGTGAAGCGAGTCATTTGGGCGAAGATCACGATGCTGCACCAGTTTTACGAACAGTGAATGAAAGGTATCATGTGATAACATATACAGTTATTGTGCATCCTCTTTTGACACGTTTTTGCTATAATAGGCGGATCCAGGCGTCCAAAAAGGGGGGTTATGTTTTACCTCCCAACATAGGTGCCCTGACACCGCCTATGCATGACCAATACAATTGTAGTCGTTCTCTCATAAGAAAATTGTAACATAACAAGACCATTACCACCCTTTTTAGAAACAGTACCAACAAAAACCTTATTAACTATACTTTTTGTGTACCCCCAATCTCAATGATCTGTATCCGCCTATGATTTTTAAAAATGCATATTTTTAGGATCCATGTGAATTCCTGGTTCATTCTCTATCGATCGGCAAAAGTTGCGTTAAAGGGAGATAATGAGCTTTCTTTTTTCTTAAATAAAAATTACTCGACATCTATACTATTTCTACTGTAGTTTCTATAAAATATGAAAATTTCCTAGCACATTTTCGTATGTGAAAAAGGTTTTTATTTTTGCAAAAAAGAAGCAGTACTTGCAGTACTTGTAACACCCACCGAAATGCGTTGTCCTTCTCTATAAAAAAGTCGCAGTATATGGCGCTTTTGTTTCAAACAGCGACGCTTGGGTTTTTGTTTATGTTATCGCCTTGTCGTTGCTTGGTTGTAAGGATTCTAATTTGAATTAGAGTTAATTCGGTTTAGAATTAATTAGATTCTAATTCGGGGGTACATAGTGCCTACTCTTCTTTGTTTCCAACATTATTTTGCGCCACAAATGAACGGCATGCGCCAGAAACGCAGCCAAATCTTGCGAATGCGACTACGAAATTCATTATTTTGGCCTCAGAGCCTGAAGCGAAAAATACAAGCATATTTATTTCAAAAATACTTCAGGTTTGTCGAACGGTGTTATGAGAATTTTGATAACAGTACTGCATAAGTTTTTCAGTGATGCCGCAAAAGTGTTGTATCTATCTTCTTTTATTGTGCAGTCGGCGGGACCGATTCAAAATTGAGTCGTTGCTACTAAAATAGCAGCATATGGCGACAGATGATGAACAGGAAAAATAGTTGCGTAAATTTAGACATAAACCACCCCCAAACCATGAATATCTTTTGAAGGCACTATAGACGACCATTAACTAACTAGATGTGATGAAGATCAAATGTAATGAATACGCTCATTTTACAAAATTACATGCCAAAAAGTGATGTAAGTACTTATTCAACGGTCATTTTCAGCGCTCCCCGCTAACGTGACTTCAAGTTGAGATATTTGCGGCAAGGTACCGAATTGAGCAAAATGGTTTTAATTGACATTATAACTTGTTGTGTTTTGTCAGAAAATGGTCCTAACTCAGATTTTGTGGAAAAAGGTCATAATCTCCCTTTAAGATTAGTTCAGAAACCTGGCCGTGATAAACAGTCTAAAATGTATCTGCAATTTGCCCGTTTTTACCCCCCTCTACCCCCCTATTGACATTTTTCAATTTTTATTTTTTATAAATGTAGATCACGTTGAGCGAAATCGAATGCCGTTTGAATTTTGAAAATCGGCCCGTTAGATCTCGAGATATCAAGGAGGGGGGTCGTAAACAGCCCCCCTGCCACTAATAGGGGTAGCCAGGAGCCTGCCACTAATAGGGTTAAGGGCTAGATGGCTAAAAAAATCAGTCATCCTACGAACCGAACGCTTTTTATTTTGAAGTCGATCGGCGCTAGTAAACGAACAATGTTTAACGGGAATGTTCCGCTTTAACCCTCGCCGATTCTACATATTCGTTTTCCACACGGCACACACATTCCGGCCGAGGGCTATAGGTGGCAAGTTTGTTTGTTTATCGTTTGTTTATGGTAATGGACATGACATACTACGTAAATTACGATATAGTACGATATAGTACGACGGATTGTATTTAAACGTTTGAAGGATTGTTATTGCAATTACAGATTACTAACTATAGTTCGTTTTTCTTAAGTTCGACCCTCACTGTAATCGTCTCTTTGAACACAGCACGAGAATTGCTAGCTGAATTACTTAGAAAACTGGCTGGCGCACATTGATTTCACAGACGATTAATTTTACTCAAAATTATTTCTTCCTGGCTCTTATTTCCCAGACTCCTAGCTCGTAGTTACCTTTACATACAACCCCACAGGGACAGACATCTTGTCAGAAATTATAACTGAACTGATCAATAGATCGTACGGCGTTTAACAGAACGGTATATCATCGGTGTTTAAAACTCATTTGGAAAATATTATTCATGTCTGCAGTACAATGTGCGCTAACCAGTTTTCCTAGTAATTTAGCTAGCAATTCTCGTGCTATGTTCAAAAAGATGTTTACAGTGAGGGTCGAACTTAGAAAAAACGAACTATAGTGCGACGGAAAATAAAGTTGAATTGCTGCGAAAACATTTGAATTTATTATAAGGCACCTCAAGTCGAACCCCCTCTCACCGTTTCACGCCTTATTGAACTGGAGCCACGCAGTAAGACGAGCGAATGCGCCATTACGAGACGCAGCGACTGGTATCCGACTTTAAGGTCTCAGGTCAATCGGTGACCTTTGAGGTAAAGCAAAATGCCTCCAAGGTAGAGGCTTTTCTTTTGATGAATAGCCTCGTCAAAAGTGGTCACAGAGCCGCGGTTTCGGCACCATCCTGTTTGACATGATCAAGCGCGTCAAATGATTACGGAACGAGCGAAGCGAGCGAGTCTCGTAGAATAACGGAAATTTCTGAGTATGAGCGGCCGGCCGGCCGGCCGTGGTCACGATCTGCGACCGGGAAGTTGGCAGTTGGCACCCACTAGGTAATGCATATCCATGTGCCAGAGTTGGGGTGCTGATGCACGTGTGCACGTGCAGGGGTCGCTTCCAGATCTCGAGAACGGCTGGACCGTTTACGCTCAAGTTTGGTACACGGTTAGGGACCAGTTAGTAGGGTGCAGTGCACAAGTCAGTTGGGAGTTGGGACCCATTTTGCACGTGCGCACGTGCAGGGTGCCGCTTCCAGATCTCGAGAACGGCTAGGCCGATTGTGCTCAAATTTGGCACATCGCTAGAGACCGGTTAGTAGGGTGCCATGCACAAGTCAGTTGGGAGTACCCCCTCGAAATTTCGCACGTGCAAGGCCCACCCTCTCACTCGCTCCGTTAGTCGCCCCAAAAGGCGTTATACTGGTTACGGAGCGAGCGAAGCGAGCGGAGTCTTAGGTAGAATAACGGAAATTTCTGAGTATGAGCGGCCGGCCGGCCGTGGTCACGATTCTGCGACGCTTATATCTCAGCAACCACTTGACCGATTTACATGCGGTAATTTTTGTAGGGTAGCTTCATTCCTTCTACCAAGTATTGGACTATTCTCGATGCATGTGGGTGACCCCTTATGCACGTGCCACGTGCAAAACGAAGAGGTGTCACTTTTGTTATAGTTGCAATATCTCGGTAACTACCCGGCCGATTGCGCTGAAAGTTGGCATGTAGATAGGCAACCACTAGGCAATGCATATCCATGTGCCAGAGTTGGGGTGCTGCTGCACGTGCGCACGTGCAGGGGTTGATTCCAGATCTCGAGAACGGCTCGACCGATTGCGCTCAAATTTGGTACACGGTTACGGAGCAGTTAGTAGGGTGCCGTGCACAAGTCAGTTGGGACCCATTTTGCACGTGCGCACGTGCAGGGTGCCGCTTCCAGATATCGAGAACGGCTGAGCCGATTGTGCTCAAATTTGGCACATCGCTAGAGACCGGTTAGTAGGGTGCCGTGCACAAGTCAGTTGGAGGTACCCCCTCGCAATTTCGCACGTGCAAGGCCCACCCTCTCGCTCGCTCCTTTATTCACCCCAAAAGGCGTTATACTGGTATACTTTATGTTTAGGGCAGGTCAACTGAAGTGTTGACCCAAGATTAAGGTAAGGTTACAGCATCGTCACAAAACTGGTCGAAGGAAATCATATGGAATGTTATTAGATTTGGCAGATCTTCTTGAGTCCATTGGTGACTTTTCTGACTCGTTAGCTTTATAGTTGATCGATAGTTATTGGGAAAAACCTCGATGGCCTTAGTGACATAATAAATAACGTCACCTAGGTCAACAATGTAAGCGCTAAGTATCGGTGTTTGCCAAGAGTGTATGAAATCACGAGTTTATGTGCTTGAGATAATCCTCGATCATTTTGACGTCAGAATGGCACTTTTCAATTTCCCTTGAATGAGAGATTACGGACCGATCATGACTTCAGATGATTTTAAGAATAATATGCGATTACAAGTTTGGTGGCACGTCAGAGTCAGTCAGTGAACTGACCTGACCTGAAAATGCGGCTGGCGTCACAAGATCTGGCTGAAATGAAAGGTGTGCCAACTTCCATCTCATTATATTCATTTTTTTATTTTTATCACTTTGTTCTTAAAGGGACTATCCCACCTTCTAAAATGTTGTTAAAACCAGTTAAATTGTGCCCGACTTTATAGATTGGATGACCAGGAACACGGTTCTGGCATTTATTTTTCATTAAACATCTTAGGCTTCCCATATTCCAAACACAAACTTTCAAATATGTGATGTCACAGTCCAACATTACTTCCTTCCCCAGGCCACATTACTGTCATAAAGCTGATTCTTTTTACTCTGTAGGCACCACAACAAAGTTCAGACCAAGTTTTAAGCGATTTTTCAACGAACAAACCCATTTAAATCAGAATGACTAAACGAGGTGACGTCACACTAACGGTCGCTCCATGTTGAAGATAGGGCCTTGTACAAGGCCCATTTTCAAATGAAGGGAACGAATTTCTTCAACACCAAGAGGCCGCGGGGGTTGCAACCTAGATAGATAGTGGTTTCTGAGCCTCGCCGCAAACTTGGCTATCTCAACTCAAACCCCAGGTTAAAGGTGGGATAGTCCCTTTAATTGCCCAAAACATTGATTCGTTTAATAACAAAAAGAATGTAAGAGCCTTTGGCTGAGACGCCCGGGGACGGCGTCCCGCACAACGGTGTGGGCTCATCACTTGAGGTAACCACCGGTAGGTAGCGGGCACGATGAACAGTTATTTCTCAGGTAGCGTCTTGGTCTAACCGGCAGGAGTTCATTAAGAATAATTACAAAAAGACGTGAAAACTCACTGCACATAAATAGCGTCGCCTAATCGTTCATTACTGCAATACTGCATACGCCTCACTGAGCCAGTCGTGGGAAGAGCGGTCGGATGACTCTCACGGCTTGTGACCTTAAGCTTAGGTGAATATCTATCTATACTACTCTCAATTCTCATTGCAATCCACATTCTGCTTGCACGGGGGGTGGGAGAACACAAATGACATTAAAAAGGACAAAGCACAATGGTCTTCCCTATCTAACAAAGACATTTTATTTTAGTGACCAGCGACTACGTAGCGATCAAACGACGATGCTCTCCCATTCTAAGCTGACCCGACGGTCACCCCGGCAGGCTAAAGGCAAGGGCAATGCCTGTCAGGGCGTCCTGAGCACTACTCTGGGGTGACTGCATTGACGGCTGGGCATCCTGCCCAGGTACAGTGTGTTATGATGAAAAAATGAGCAGAAAGTACACGTGAGATGTTTGTCCGCAAAATAGACAGTAGATTGATAACAAATAGCCGTTTCCCATTTGTCCAGAGGTTGTGTCACTATGACTGATAACGCCGTCTGGTGGTCAGTAGGTGGCGCTTCGAGCGGCGGTCCCACATCGGTCCCACATCTGTCGGTTTTCTGGTCCGTCCGCTGACACCAGTCCCTCAGCCTGACCACCTTTGCACAACTGACAGACGAAGTGGTGTAGGAGAATAACAGTCATCAGCTCTCTCGGAAACCATGCATCGTGAGTGAAAAATCATATCAATGAATAAAAAAAAATATCGCAGGGCAGTTTCATTCGAGGTCTACATTACACTGTTCATGTAGGTGGGAGTTCGCTTTGAGATCAACTTATTTTCGTTGTGATTAGAGGTCATAGTGTGTCAGAACATAATACATCGTTCCGTCGTTTCCAACCTCAGGACATTCAAATTTTTCTCCTCCACACCTCAACCTCCTGTTACGGGCTGGACGGGCAACTTCATCCCAAGCGGGAATGCCCGTAAGAGCACGCCCGTAGCCGGGTGCAGTGAGTACTTGGGGGGCTGGTCGGCCTGTCCTATGGGACGGGCTCAGCCCCGGCGACTCACCAGGGTGCTCGCCCATACCAATGTCTCCTCCTAATTCCTCTCATCCCTCCGGCCCTGAAATGGTCTCGTCAGACCGAAAGAGCCAACTAAACCCTACAAACAAACAAACGTAAAACGTTCATGGAGTTCCAGCACATCCCAATATCCTTGCTTTAGTGTATAGACTATAGATTGACGGATGCAAATGATTGGAAATGTTTTCAGCTGGAATCCATACGCTCATTGCAAATACAGTGCAACAGGCAATTAAAATAGCATGTCATACCAGCAAGGTCATGTGAATCTGGTCATCAGGTGTTTTTGAAATGCATGTGATATCACCTCAAATTTAAGTGCCGCTACCATTCAAATTTTGGATAACTGAAGTTTCATTGATAGTTAACTTTCCTGTCATCAGTATTTCACATAGATGTACATAATGCTGTGCTATCCTTTACCCTATTAGAACTTTAACATAAGGTGTTATAATGCGATAGTTAAGTTTTTTAGATGTGATACCGTTTACATTAAAAATGTAATAGGCAAGACGCATTTGGCCAATAGCCATCGCGAGGAATGAATATTATTTGGGATAGCAACCATTTAGGGACTTTGATAAAACCATTTTACTTGAGGTCTGGTACCTCACGACTGCGTTGTCTAATCTTATTTCACATTTGCAGATAAGTGTTGGGGAGCGCGATGTTTTCCTGAGATGATTAACGCCTCTGTCATCCATGCAATAGTCGATTTATGAAGAGATTTTCAAAAACATGTTTGGGCCGCCTCTGTAACACAGAACAACTGCAACGAGTCACAGCCAAGTGTTCATGTTTGTCGCGGTGTTTCCGATCGGTGACAGACCACTTCATTAGCACACCTCTAACCCACCTATATAAGACCGTTACAGTCGTCAGACCACACCCAGCAGTTCGCCGACATGCGTCCCTCTCAGCAACTGGTCTGCCTTCTGGCAGTCGCACTGACTGCCGTATCGGCTGCAACGATTACTTCAAAAGGTATGTTGCGCGCAACGAATAACGGTTTCTTCTTCAGGTAAGTTAGGTGTAACGATTACTTCCAAACGTAAATCAGGTGCAACGAATACTTTCAAAGGCTGTGTGTATGCCGGTCTGAACGAATACTTATAGGTATAGGTACGGGGTGTAGCCAATAATTCTAAACGGATGCTAATTCATAACAAATAAGCCTTTTTCGGTGAAAAGTGCGCATTTTGTTTTTGATTAGATTTTTCTGACAATTATGCATGGAAATAAACACAGCTTAACATTGTCTTCTCTTTGAGGACAATCCATGTAAGAATTTATATATAGAAAAATAGTAAAGAAAAAGTCCATGAATCGTCCCTTTCTAAGTGTAACGAAACTGCTGATGTCGGTGGTAAATCCATTTCGAATTATGGCTAGGTCTTGTGCTATAGAACCGCAGGCCGCGCTCGATAGCTTACCCGGCTTACAGCACGACAAAATTTCCCAGATGAGTTGAACCCGAGCTTCAATGATTTAATGAATTTTAAAAAATGAAACACACCAAGCTTAGACCTCAAATTTGATAGAAACGGTACAGCAAAGTCCACGATCAAAAACTGTGGTCCACGAACGCCGTATTTCGTAAAAGCCAGCTTCAATTCAGCGGTGTCCAGGCTCCAGCTCATACCTGTTCACTCAAGATAGCTCAGACATTTATAATTTACTGTGTTTCAGATGCCATCATGCAGCGTGTAGACAATAGCGCTGAGGCCATGACACCTGATAGACAACACTCAGCAATTGCAGCCCAACAAGTGATCGAACAACGGTCTCTGGACGACGCTACCCTTCTTGCATGTTACGACGGTCAAGAATATAAGCCACTACCTGCGGGGGTGTACTACATACAGTCACCCAACTACAGACCAGGCAATCCCGGAAATTATACCAATAATTACCAATGCATGTACAAATTCAAGGCGGCTGACAACAAAAGCAAACTACGGATCGACTGCTTCTTCTTTCAACTGGAAGGCAATATGCCAGATTGTGTTAGAAAAGACTACCTACTCTTTCAGACCGAAGACCTATTTGCGACCTATTGTGGAAAAAACATACCGAAGACGATGCTCTCGAGGTTCGTGTATGCTTTTTTCCAGACCAATTCGGAAATCACCGACAAGGGTTTCTTCTGCACGATTATGTCCAAAGAGGCGTTGGCCGGCTCCGGCAGTCTGCCGTGCGGCAAACATAACCTTCCACCGGGAACGTACAGCCTCCTCAGTCAGAACTACCCCGACAACTACGGAACCAACATCTACTGCAAGTGGGAGCTGGTAGCCAGCGATCCGTCAAACACAGTGGACTTCAGCTGCAGCAGCTTTGACATGATCTCCTGGGACAACTCCTGCGAGTGGGACTGGATGAAGGTTGACGGCGTCCGCCACTGCAACAACAACAAGCCCGCTCCGCAGCAGTTCACAGGCGGCGTCACCGTGGAGTACTCCACACCGAACTTACCCCACAAAACAAGAAAGGGATTCAAATGCACTGTTACTGTTATACCGCGCCCCACTGGGGGGTGGGGCTATTTATAGCCCCCCTCCCGTTTTTCTGCAATAACTTCGAAACCGCTTGACGTATCAACGCCAAACTTTCACTACCTTCGGCTGCATCAATTTGAAACCTTGTGTCAAAATTTCAACTTCGTACCTACCATAGGTAGGCCGGAAATGACGTCAGAATGACGTCATGTTCGGCCGATTTCGACGTAAAACATTGAACCACGGCAATCGCTCCCAAGAGCTCAGCTTTTAAGCTAGATCCAATTTCTTTGCATGAGAGGACTCAGAATCGACTGCGCTATCAAACTGCTATCTCGGATTTTCGAAATTTTGAAAATTTCGAAAATTTTATATAATAAAATTCAAAATTTATATTTTTACATTTTTTCAAAAACTTTTTGACTTTTCGAAAAAGCCGGAATATATGTGATAGAACGCATTATTTTGACAAACTCTAGCAAGTTTTAGCTAAATATCTTTAAAAATGGCCAAGTTATACGCATTATTGCAAAAAATTAACAATTATTAATTTTTCAAATCAATTTTTCAGCAAGAATTTGCCATCGTACGCCAACATAAATAGCACCATCGTGTTCCTGAGCTAAAACTGCATCCAATAGACACTTTTTCTGTTGAACCTTTTTTGACCTGAAAGTGACCTGACCTGAGCTAAATTTGACTCAAAATGACCTCGAATGACACAGACGACATCAAATTCGAAATGTTTGGCCTAAATGGACCATAAAACATGTGTCACGTGATCGACGGATGATATAATATTTTTGTGACCTCTGATGACCTGACCTTGACCTGAAAATCAAAGTACAAGTTTGGTACCCTCAGAGAATCTAGAGCATCTGTTCACGAGTGTGTGAACCAAAAATGAGCCTGATCTGACTTGTAAGACGGCGGCCAGAGCCCAAAACGTGAAGAAGCCAAAATGCTAATAATTTTTACTTTGACCTGACCTGTGACGTCATCGGTGACCTCGAGGTCAATGAAATTAGGTTACGCTCGACAGTTTTTCCGGGGCTATCAGACGCCGTTTGAATTTTGACGATCGGCCCAGTAGTTTCGGAGTTAGGAGGGGGGGGGCTATGAATAGCCCCCCCCTCCCCCCCAGTAGGGCGTGTTATACGCAGACCCCAGTGGGGCGCGGGTTAAATAAAGAGGAAACAGCATATAACTATGAACCCAACAGAGTGAGTGTGCGCATTCATGTGGTTTTACTAGAAATGACACCCGTCGCAAATTCTCAAGCCTCTTAGAACTGTTCGCTTTTGTTATTTTGAGTTTCAAATAAATTTTGCTTTCGTATAAGTTATTCCTTTCATAGGCTTTACGGAGTGCTTAACTAAGAAACACCAGGCTCCTCACTTCTCCATCACCGTTTTATGATATTCGCTATTGGGCACAAATAAATGAATTGGCATGCAAGCCCTTATCTTTTTGGACGACCAAACAAATAAATTGCATGCTACACAAAATGATGATAAATACGAGTATGCGCGTTGCAGAATGCAGCGATGCGTGCGTGTGCTAAATGCAACAGCGGATTGCTGGCATATAGGCTTACATTAATACTTATCGCTGAATTATCGTCATAATATAGTATCAGTATGCATATGTATTCTCATGGAACGGTCTTTAACCCGCGCAGGGCTGGGGTCTCCAGCCGAACGCGCGGGGCTGGGGGGGTGTAAATTTTACCCCCCCCCCCTTGTTATCTCCCGAACTAATGGTCCGATTTCGAAAATTCAAACGCAAGTCGAAAGATCTCATCACGAACAATTAAAAACATGTACTCAATTTAAATTTTGAGGTCAAGGTCAAGGTCAGGTCAAGGGTAAAAATTGCAAGTTTCTACAGTATCGGCCTTGCACCGTAGTTGCCGAAGAATGGAGTCATGGACTGAGACTGATTGCCCAAATCGTGTTCTTAGGCTACCAAGACAATATTCGTTGCATACAATATCATTCAAAGGTCAAGGTCAAGGTCAGGTCAGGTCAGGTCAGGTCACCAAAAACAAAATATAGAAAAGGGCATGTGCGACACATGTTTTATGGGTCATTTTATTCATAGAATTCAATAGGCAAACTCAATAAGTGATATGGACCACCTCTGGATGAATTTCAGGTCAAGGTCAGGTCAAGGTCAGGTCAAGTGAGGTCAAATTTTGAAGTTGGTTGTTAAGGCCTAAAAAGGTGTCTATCTGATGTAGGTAGTTTTTCACGGCAAATCGAATGGTGCTATTATTGTTTCTGTACGAGGTCTAGAACTTCCAAAAAAACATCATTTTCCAAAAATTTTGCGTGTCGTGACGTCATAGAATTTGAAATAACTCCCACATTTTTGAACCGATTCTTTTGAAAATTGATATGTAGGTGCACATAGACCCCTTCTCTGACATATATTCCGGTTTGTTCGATACACTCAAAATTTTGGATTTTATAATTATTTTCCCAAAAAATGTCAGTGTTTTGGAAAAATTTGGGCCAAAATCTAAAATTTTCAAAAAACCGAGATAGCCATTTGATAGACAAAGTAGAATCACGTATAACCTTTTTGTTACGTCTTGATTCCCTTAAAAATGAGGATGTTAGCGGCGTTTGAAATTTTGCCGTTTTTGAGGCGAAAATGACGAACATGACGTCAGTAAAACGTCATTTTCTCAAAAAATTTCTGAATGAGTTCGTTCAAATTTTCAGGGAACGTGTCAACTTGATGTAAGAAAAGGTACTGGAAGTTTGGCGGCGCTGCGCGCCGCTGTTTTTGAGATATTGCAAAATTCGCGAGGGGGGGGGGGGTAAAATTTACCCCCCCCCTCAGCCCCGCGGGTGCTGAGGGGGTGCTGAGAGTTAATGTGTACGAGTATGATTTACTCATTCATTAATTTCCTTCATTGAAATTCAGACGCGCAGGCGATATCACCATTTCCATAGGCGGCGGAACGGGAGGGGACACCGAGGCACCGTGCCCTCTTTGATTTTGGCATTTTAACATTAGCCCTATGGGCGTTGCATGGAAAGAATGGGACCAAAAGTCGGCAGTGCCCCCCCCCCCCCTTAATTGAAAGTGTTCCGCCGCCGCCCGCCACTGACCATTTTCCTTTACATTCTTTAACATTTCCCCGCAAACAGAGTCGCTTACCATCTCTGCCCCTCCCCAAGCCCAGATAAACCCATTCTATAAACAATTTCGCCCCGGTCCCGGCGCATTCAGCGCACAGTGCGTCGCGCCGTCCCACTGTGCGCCGTCAGGTGAGAGTGGCGGGCGGCGCACGCGGGAGGTCAGCCGGTGGTGGTCGGTGGGGCGCCGGCCGCTCCGCCTCCGCCGACCGGCGTCAGTGACACGGCCAGGGCCGCACGGGACGCGCGGGGGGCCGCGGCGCGCTCAGCTCGCCGGCGGAGACCACGGTGACCCGTGACCCGTGATTCGTGATTCGTGATTCCGTGATCTGGTGACCGTGACTCGGTGCGCGGTGTGAGCTCGGAGCGGCCGCGGTGTGCCGGAGATGGCCCCGGGAGGAGGGTACCCTCCGGCGGGGTCGGCCCCTCTGCTGAGGTGGCTGGTCACAGTGACATTGACGGTGACGGCGGCACGGTCACAGGCGGTCAGCAGCTCAGTCGCAGGTGAGCGAGATGCGATCGAACCATCGAGCTGCACTCTCACATCGAAAAGACTTCGGACTTTTGTCAACATTTCCTTCGTCACTTACATCCTGGAATGAATAAATGTTCGCACTTTGCTCGAAATTATAATTCAGGCAGATTACGAAATTTGCCTAGAAATCGGACATTGCTTTTCCGCCTTTTTAGGAGGAGGGGTGATCAAAATTGAACGTTCATTTGCGTTGCGTGCAGGACGAGCACAAAGCCGCGCAACATAATTGCAACAATCCTTCAGTCACCAATTTCAAACCAGTTATGAACTCAACAGTTTGTCGTACCTATGTGTTTCAAACAAGGGAACACATTATTGACAAACAACAAAGGCACATTTTGCTCTCTCCTTCACGCCGTAATCCGAGATTAGGCGTTCCACCCATCCCGGCCATCCTACCCTTCTCAGCACGGCCCAGGTGCGAGGACCACAATAGGTTCCCTGGCGCCCGGGGCACGGGGTAGTGGGAGGCCCCAGAGAGGGACGTTTTTGTTCCCCGACCTTAGGAGCACCGGGGAATGGGTTGGGTTGGCTTCATAGCGTCACATTCCCTCCTGTGTGGACCGCCGAGCGCGGCAAAGGCATGGGCCGTGGGTGTGGTGCGGGAGGGGATTGTAAACAAATTCCATACCCGCTTACTTGTTCATTCATGGCACTTTGATTCTGAACTCTGAAGCGAATGATTTTATGTACCGTATTTTTTGCGCTATGGTCTAAAAAATACACTGGGCACTGGAGAATAATTAGTAAATGAAATAATAAATGGCCGGTGATGCCGCTTGATTCATATGAAGGCATTGATGCATGGAAATGTGAAAATAGTCCGGCTACTTTCCAATGTTTAATCAATTAACATAACCTCTTATCCTATAAGAGTCACATGGGTTTAAAGTTCCCAGCGGCCTTCGTCATTGCAATGCACTTACATCCAACCGGCTGAACAGATGCCGCAGCTACCTGCCCAATAGTTCGACTACCGTGTCGAGTTGCTGGCCGCACCGGTGCATCGCAGACCGACTTATAGTGCAATCCGGGCGTTCCGTTCGATTCTCTGATCCGTCCGATATCCAAACCCGTCGACCGCATCCATCAATCCAGCGTCAGCAGCGCCGGTGGACCGCGATCGGTACAGTCTCACTGATTGGCGCATAACGAGGTGATCGCGGCTGTACGGATTGGAAGCCCAGGCAGGACACGAACGGTCCAACCCGGCACGCGGGTTGCCAATTTCCATCACGACGGACGTTTTGTTCTCGAGTCAAATCTCAGTTGGAACTTGAATCAAATTCATCCACCGAACAAACGTGCATGCGTAGGTCGGATGGACTGAGGCCATTGTGCATGTCATGTCATGAGGCCAGGCCATGTCGCTCACGACGGTAATCGGCTTTGGTGCGCGCCTAAAGCCGGCCTCTACAATGGGAAGGCTCGGGGATGGACGGCCGGCACAATGGGTACGTTAGTGGATGGCCGGCGCGCCCGGTCGGGGGCGTGCACGACTCTGTGCACGCGGTATGCACGGGTGGTGGTCTGGGAGCCATGGAGCCCGCGGCGGTCAGAGGGTGGGTGGGTGGTTCACACAGTCTCAGACATTTGAGATAGGGAGAGAGGGAGGGAGGGAAGGAGACAAAGGGAGGGAGAGGAAGGGTTCCCAGACAGGGTGGTCAACGCTCCGGTCAGACCGTTTAATAGGTGAAACCTTTTGGGTCAGTCGTGGTGGCTCTGGAAGCCTGAAGTTTGCGCTAATAAATTGGCAGGATACCGGCCAATAGTCATTATAAGATGCATGCGAAGTCGATGATCTCGGGCGATAGTAAAGAAGAGTCTGCTGTTTTCAGGTCCTTCATAAAGAAGTCCTTCATAATTCAGGTCCTTCATCAGTCAAGAATGATCACTCAGACTGGCAACTGACCTGTGCTCACTATTGAACCTTTCTCATAAATAACATTTCGCTGGGAACGTCTCCTTTTTAT